ATATATATATATATATATATATATATATATATGACTATTTTCAGTTTTGTGTTATTTAAAATAGCATAACAGATTCACAAGTGTGAAATAATTATATTTTTTAATGGGATGGTATGTGAACTTTCAAGCCGAACTGTATATATGCTATAATTCATTTGAATTAATAGCCCTCCTGTCAACAAATTCTTCTTCCTGGGGTGTTTGACTTTACTTCTCCTCCAGAATTAGCGTGAACTTCATGGCTGCTTCTCAGATGAATGCTGGTCTTCTTGATGTCTTCAAAACAGCTGCTTTGATACTGAGATAAATTTATACATCGACAAGCTCCACTTTGTCTTTGCCTGTCACATTAAATCACACTAAGATACACTGAATTTAGTGGATGTAACATCCATAGCACATCACATTTGATTAAAGGAGAAAGGGACTTTAAATTTTCTTTGGTTTTGGCATATTGTGGACTTAAGGAGGATGTCTGATCTTGAATACAGAGGTGGGAGATAGTGGATTACTCCACTTTTGAAGAAAAAGGTAAAACCAGCTGCCAAAGTTTAAAGTGTAAACTAGCAGCAGGTCTTCTACAAAATAGAGAAGTTTAGCCCGCATATATGTGAACAGTTAAAAAACACAAAATTTGTTATTAAAAAGCTCAGTTGTGATTTTGGTGTCTGATACATTTTTTATTTATTCCTGCTGAATATGCAAAAATGTGTATGAATGTGAGCAATATTGAAACGCACTGGCCTTAACTGTAAACAGTAATATGCTTAAAGCAGTTTTCATTAACAGAAATCGGACATCAATAAAGATAACTGAAAAGACATTTTATACAGCCTTTAATTCTTGACAATGCAAAAGTATAAATAATCAAAGTCTGAGTACAGTTAGGAACCCTTAGGACATAAAATAAAATATCCCTGGTAACAAAATTTCCAAACTAAAAAGAGCAAATGAAAAGAATACTTAAGCACTGGTTCTTTAAATTCTGGGTTGTCTGCAAAATTAGCAAGAAACTGGGATTTCCTGCAGACTTCACCTGA